GTCTTCCATAAAGTCTCAAAATTAGTTTCATTCCTGTGGGCTGGGAGTTTAAAGTCAAATATAATTACAATGGTCTCACCACATTCTCCTCTTGTTTTCCTGGGGTTAGCTTTAGCCTCTGTTCCTGCTTTGTTTCCTGGATGTTAAGTCAACTGTAATCCTGTAGTCCGTTCAGCTACTCACTGTTCTCTGATCACATTCTAGATTTTTCTACCTATATGCTTTTTTCCCCATGCAATTTTCAACATCTCTGTTCCTTGAAATGTTATTTATTCTTCAAAATGCAAATGGCCTACTGGCTGCCACCCTCCAAAGTGTAAGAACGACAAACCAATAATGATTTTTCCTAAATCCTGAAGCATTTGGCTTGGATGTTTTTATGAAATTTAGTAGAATATTTTGTAAAATCTGTGCTCAGATTTGACCTTCTCTTTACATATTTTAAGTTCCTTTAAAGCAGATTGCTTTAAACTTGTCACGAGCTTAGCACAAATGCCATTAAATTTGCCAACACTTTCTATATTGGTAAATTATTCTTTATCTTTCCAACAGCAGAGATTTAAAATAAAACAGGTCAAAACTTGTGCTAGTCTCATGAAAAAAATATGTTCTAATTTATGATGAATTTTTGTAATTCTGTAATTTGGCAATTTCATGACTCAAATGTAAAGAAAAAGAAAGAAAAAATAAAACTAACTAAACACACTACAGTGTATAGAAGATAAGAAAAAGACTAGTCACTTTGTTTTATAATAGTCAAAAAGTTCCTGATTAGGAAGACTGAAGTTGATTGATTGCTCAAGTGTTTTCTTTTGTCTTTGGCATATGTCTGCTTATGAAAAGACACACCTAAACACACCTAGGTTTTCTTAATCTTCTATGCAGTGTTTAAGATTCCAATGTTGTGCTGCATTACTACTCTAATTTTCTGTAATAGTTATGAAGGTTATGATTGTGCTAGTGAATTTCTTTCCAAAAAATCTTTAATGGATTCTAAAGATTTTAAATCTTGTTTCTCAAATAAATAAATAGATAAATTTTGTTCCTCAAACACCACCTTACACAAATGTTACTTTATCACTGTATAAAAATGTACAGTGGTTTTATTGACATGTACATTCCAATATGTTTACAGCTGCAAGATAATGAGGCACACTCAGTATTGCACTTCATTAAAATTTCAGGCTCAAACTTAACCTAGAAGTTTAAATGAAACTGCATTTGTAATTTAGTAATTCTTATACAGGACAAACATTGATATTTATATACAGTGTGATACTTATTACATTTATATGCCATCCTAACACAATTTTTTTTAAATAACAGTCTAGGAAATAAACCAGAATATTCTTATTTTATCCCCTCCCGTGATGCAATTGTACAGGATTACAAAAAGGCAGTATACAATAAACAATGACTATTTTTCTTTTTTGCTTGAAAGCCAGCATCATTCGTAGTCCAGGATATGGTGATTCCTTTATGTCAATTATCTATAAATGTCCAATGCTTCACAGGCCAATGACGGTAATGGCCACATGCAAACACCTCACAAGTTTGATGTCTTGGTTCAAAGAAGATAAACCAAAATAATGTGGAAATTTTTCATTAGCAAGAATTATGTACACGGTATTTGGCATTCTTCTTGCACTATGAATGGTTCATTTTCATGGATGTAAAAATGGTCCCATTGTTATCTTGAGCAGAGTTTAAACTTCATTGCATCCGCTTGGTGGATGAAAGCAACTTTCCTCTCTGTTGACAAAGGGTCTGAATGTTCTAAAAAGTGTGTGCATTTCTGCATACCCCACAGCCCAGAGCAAACTCTTCCCCAGTGGGAGGATGAACAACATGGAGTGGACATTCTGCTCCTTCTAACTGTTTGCCTTTGGGGCCTATAGAAATAGAAATTACTGATAAATGAGATTCAAAGAAATAACATGACCATGGTTACATAAATATAAAACTAAAAATTATTTTCCTTCTATCACAAGTAAAACTGTTCACCATATATGTGTATATATATTATAAAATACAGAAAGTAACATGGTCCCTTACCCTCAGAATCCTGACTAGAGAGAAACAGTAAGAGCCACAGATCTTTTCTATTAATAGATGAATTAGATCTATCATTTTAAAGCAAAGAGCAGTAAGTAAGAATGGTCACAAAATCCTTTAATTTAATCTAGTAGAAAATTATTCTGGAAACTTTTATATAGGAGCTTTTTCAACAGGTAAAAACAGTGAGTATAAATAAGCCATGTTACATGTCTTCTTTCACTGAGTGGAAAGTGCACATTGCAAAAGACTTGACTACTGGAGTTAATATTTTTTTACTTTTTTTGTGGGTTTGAACTCAGGGCTTCCCACTTGCAAAGCAGGTGCTCTACCTCTTGAATCACACCTCCAGTCCATTTTGCTCTGGTTATTTTGGAGACGGGGCCTTGAGAACTATTTGCCTGGGCTGGCCTTGAACACTGATCTTCTAAATCTCAGTCTCCCAAGTAGCTAGGATTGTAGGAATGAGACACCAGCGCCCAGTTGACTTTTGGAGTTATTTAAAAACTCTCTGAAGGAAGATTAGTAGGGAAGTGAAAATTCATCAGCTTAAAATATGAACTTAAAAATAACATAAAATACCAAAATGTGGAAGCAACATTTTAGGGAAGATAAAAATGTAAAAAAACCCTGTACTTCTTTACTTTTCAGAAGGGATTTGTCATGCCTGTGTGCTTCATGCATGTGTGTCCCATCATTTAAAAAGTATCCTCAGCGTCACTGTAAGTGAAGAGTAGCATCCCAGTGTCAGGGCTGCAGGCTGTGCTCCCATGTGCATGCTCCCATCGAACAGCAGCAGGAGCTATGGGAGCTCTGTGTTACTTCCCGACTGCCAGTTTTCAAAAGAATACACACAAATTCTAATTTTGCTTGAGAGCAAAATATCATGAGATTGGGTGGAATGAATTTATTCACATCAATGGGGAATGAAATCTCACTCAATTTTACCTCTTCTGGCTTTAAAGTCTTCTCTGCTGTAAAGAAGGAAAAATTGAGGGGTAAAAGGCTAGTGTTTATGAAGCTGTTAGCCTGGTGTTGTATAAATACCCAATTATCACTGGATAATAACAAACTGAGGCCTGAGCTGGAGGAATATGGTCCACTCCATACAAGAGCGAGACCAAAGTGTGGAGGCAGCTAGTCTCATAAAGAGAGCTCTGCTGCAGGTTGGAGCCATCGGCATGAGAGCCCCAGTGGTGCTGCTTCCAACAAATGCATCCCCAAGGGTTCAACAGGGAGGTCATTTGCTGGCAAGCAAGTGAAGTACGCTCATCACAAATTAGAAAATAGATCAGCTCTCCCAAGCCAAACCATCCTGCCCCCCCACCAAGGGCGTATTCACATCGGTAACAACACCATCTGTGGCGGCTCTTGCAAACTGCAAGCCTCAGGAAAAAAACACAGTCAGATTTTCCAGAGTGTCTGACCGATGAATGGTGATGCAAAGGTTAATGGAATACAGAGATGAATATCATATGACCCCTAGATTCAAGGAGTTCATAATTAACATAATGGTAAGAAATAATAATAATAGGCTGGGCACAGTGGCTCACACTTGTAATTCCAGCTACTTGGGAGGTGGACATTGGGAGGATTGCATTTTCAGGCCAACCTCAGGGAGAAAAAGTTAGTGAGACCCCCATATCAACAAACAAGGTGGATACAGTGGTGTACATCTATAATAGGCTATTCAGATGGCACAGACAGGAGGACTATGGTTCAAGGCCAGCTCTGGGCAAAAAGTGCGAGACCCTATCTGAAAAATAACTAAAGTAAAAAGTGGCTGGGGGTGTGGCTCAAGTGGTAGAGCACCTGCCAAGCAAGCAGATGGTCCTGAGTTTAAACCTAGTACCAGCAAAAAGAAAAAAAGAAAAAAAATGAATAGTAAAAATAAAAACAAAACAAACACACCTATAAATACCTGAGTGCTTACTACTGAGACTATGGACATTACCTTTTATAAAGGTTTTTATCAACCTTTTAATCCTCTGATGGTCACAGGAATCCAAATCCGTGCCACTTTGCAGATAAATTGAGGCAAAATTAACTTAATTTTCCTGATTCTTAGACGGCTTATCTTAGGATAGGCACAGCCATATCTAGCTTACAGGGTGTCATGAAGATTAAATAGAATGAGGTATTATGCTGTACTCTGAATGCTCTTGTGGCCCCAAATTCCTGTGTGGAAACCTAATCAGCAATGTGATGTCAGGAGGGTGGGCACGAAGAAGATTAGTGCTCCTGCAGTGCCCCTTCCTTCATGTGAGGACACGGCAAGAACCAGAGCTGTGAGGACATCTATTATTAATATACTATGAGGCCATGTCAGCCCAAAAACATTACGGTAATCTACTTCGGTTTCCTAGTCTCTATTTTGTCCTCATGCATATACTGAAGAATATATGGTGACTTAAGAGTGGTGAGAGAATTGATCCTTTTGTCCTTCTGAGTAAACCACACAGGGTCATCTTCCCTACTGACATCATCATGGGTTCTCCTAATACTATTACAGTTCTCTATATGAATGGATGATTTAGAGGAGAGTGTGAGGCTAGGAGGCCAAATCTCAACCTAAGTCTACGGTCTTAGGTCAGTTAATTTCTCTAGGCCTGAATTTCACATTTGTGAATATGAAGGTAATACCATCTACCTTGTAGATTATAAAAACTGTGTGAGAAAATACATGTGAAAACGCCCAGGATCATTATTAGCTCCTTCCTTCTGCGGCTCCCTCATGCGACTCCCAGTTGTTTAAAGGAATAGTCCCCACTGTGCCTGACTTGATTGTGGGAATGCATATGGACCCTTGGCCTGATGCTTCATCTCTCAGCTACTGTCCCCCTCACTACTACTGTGTTCTCTGGAATACTTGTTTCTCTACTAACTTATTATTTGTAACATTTTTTTGTTTTAACAGAAGAAACTTTCTTCCATTAGTAAAATTTGTTGGATTTTTCTGATGAGAGTACTTGCCTCTAAACTTTCTCAACTGGAAGCTAGTTGTCTGCTTCCAGTGATAAGGCTAGAAAGCATTACTGACTTTCTTCTGGTTCCCATTTATTTCCAGACCATGATCTACAACTTTCATTTAATAATCTGCCTTCCCTTGGAAGTCAAATCATTTTGAATACTGCCTGCTATTTGCTTCTTCACCTTCTGACTTTTGCTTACTGCCATGTCGTTCTAATTGTGGCTCCCCTTTCTCTTCTGGCCGTTACCCTGAAACCCTGGCCTCACATTGTTCTGAATTTGTCTCTTTCAAAGCCTGCTACTTCTACCTTAAAAAAAAAAATGAGGTGATCAGTATAATTTTTATATGACACAAAGGAATGGCAAAAGTAGCCACACTTAAAAAAACTCCCTACCTATCTTTAATTTTAAATAGGTAACACATTTTACAGAATTTAAAAATCAAAATATTAAAAAATTATTTGTAATCAGAAGTCATCTCCTTACTCCCATCTCTACCATCTTAACCTTATTTTCCTCAGTAATCTATTTTGTTTCTTGTGTATTTTTCCAGTGTTTCTTTATGCAAATCTAAGCAAATCAGAACATATCCTCCTTTTCCCTTTCTTACAAAGGCAGCATAGTATATATACACCGAGCTGTAATTTTTTTAAAAATTTATTCTACTCTCCTAGACCTCTTTCCATTATCAGTGCAAAGAATTCCTTTTTAATGATGCACAGTACTTAGCAATGACCATTCCCCTAGGGTATATTAGTATTGTTTACACATTTTTATTATAACCAATGCTGCAATGAATAACCCTTTTTTATTTTCATCACATGGGCAGAATGGGACTACTGAGAGTAGATGCACTGGTATGTCTGATGGACACCATGACACTGCTTTCCAGGGGGGCCACCCACTTGTACATTGATAAGCCATGGATGAAGGATGTGCTGCTCAGCATATACCATGTTATGGGGTCTTATATTTTAATTGCAAATACAGCTCATGTACAATTATTTTTTTACATTTATCATTTGTTCCTCTTTCACTTCCAGGAAGCCTAGCATCATTCTACATTACTGTGATTATCAGCCTCGCAACCAATTTTTTTCCGGATTCCTTTGGGACATATAATATATATTTTTTTTTTGGCATGCCCTTCACGACAATTGTTTCTCCCAAATTCTTTCTTCAGTGCCAATTTACTTATTATTTGTAGCATTTTTGTTTTAACAAAACAAAATTCCTCAATTCTCTTGGCTTTCTGATACTCACTATGTGGCCAGTTGTCAGACATTCTAGATAAATCACTTGTCTATTTATGGTGAATGATTCAGGCTTCTTAAAAAAAAAATCACAAAATCCTTGTATATTAATTTAGAATATCAAATCACATGGCTCTTTTGTGCTGAACAGGAATTTTTTTTTTACTAATTCTTGGTAGACCTTCATTCCCATTCCCCAAGAGATCTGCTCTGTTACAGCTCCTCAATTGTCAATTATCATTGAGCTCCTCAATGACCTCAATTGTCTGCTTCATTGAGAAGGTTACAACCTTATGAGGGTCGAAGTACTTATTCCTCTTGGCAGTTTAGGCTAGTTTGAATTGGGTTTCCATCACTTCAAACAGAGTTCTCACATGATTATTAAATAACACTATAGATACCACGCAGATAACAAGTGTGATTTTATAATAATGAAAGCATACCTGCAGGACAGTGTGGGAGTTCTTCCTTAGGAATGCTAGTCATTCTTTGAAAATCATCATGACAAGCATTACAGAAATGGGTTGTTCCAAAACAGAAAAAGACAGCCACTGAACAGCAGTAGCGACATTTATATTCCAAAAAGTCTGTTCCATGTTTGGGACACATCTATAGCAAAAGAAGAGACAGACACAAGATTATAGTGAGACTATTTCAACTATACTTGAGATAGCCATATACATAGTTCATTAGTTCACACTTTGAGAGTATATGTAGTTCTGAAAATTGATGAAAAAACTGGTGATATATGTGTTAAAATTAATTAATAAATATGTAGCTTTGCTAAAAGGTCTGGACAAAGCCCCAAGTCCTAATACCATCTGCAATACAATTACCTGATTTAATATGCAAACTACTCAATTTCTTGTGAATGTTTACTAGCCTGTGAAACTGAAAAATTAATAATATTTTATCCATTTCCCAATCTCATAGGTGTACTGTACTGAAGAGGGGAAAATTTAAAAGTTTGACTGCAGGTATAAGAAAATGAAATATGTAAAGTTATTCCTTATTTAAATCTGGTGATAATTTCATGGAACAAAAATTATAAAATGAAAGTATCACCCAAAAGAAATAATTCATATAAAACAATTTGGAGAATTACATAATGTTGTGTAAATATGAGACAACACTGGGAGGGAAGCCTGGCTTATTGGTTATAATATTATTTTAAAAAGAGAATTCTGATTTTTCAAAGCTGTCCTTTCTAATAAAATGTGTTTTTTTTACCCACCTGAGCCCTGGACACATCAGAACAGGCACCACAGATGAGCTCTCTGGGATCATAATCATCCCCTTGTCCAGCCTCAGCATCACAGCGAGCTTCACCACCAAAATATGCCTATGAGAGACCATATTTAGATGAAAATTTCAGATGGGAAAAAGGAAAACTCTAGGGTGGGAGATACAGCATGGGTGCAGTGAAAATCAGATCATAAGGTCTCAGAAATACTATCACTTATTAGCCACTCCCTTGCAATGCCAGGTGTATGGATGCCCATATTGTCAACTGTAGGGTGGATCAGGGCAAAAATAGAACTATCTCAATTCTGGAATGGAGTCATGCTTTCAGTGTAGAGTTCAAACACTGTACTCTCAAAGAAGACAAGAGAATGTATAATATTTCAGATTTTTACCAAAAATAAGATACTAAGTAGTCAATAGAAACTACTTTTTCAGGGCAGAGTTTGAATCATTTTTCTCATTTTGAAATATTAAACAACACAATTCCTTCCTACTGCCTCAAAAATATACTATAAGTTCCTAAATTATAATACTGTAGAACAAAAGTATGCCTAACATTATTATTAGTAAAAAATTGTAATTCCGAGTCTATTGGGAAAGAAAAGAAACCCTAATTTTAAGCATCTTCTGATCATATACACAGTTTTTAAACAGAAAGAAAATTTGGCAATTCTAGTCAAAATACTACTCAAAAAGCAACTCCAGAAACTTAATGGTCTCTAGTATGGACACTTGAATAAACAAAATTATCATGATGGATGATTTATTTATATTTGCTCTGGGCACAAAATAAATGAGGCCAAGAAATTGGGACAATTTGCATGCACATTATGTCCATAGTCAAAAAGCAGAGTCAAAACTGGGAATAAACAAGCTGAGTCAATATGAATCTATTATCTGTACTAGAAAAACAGGTCAAAAGACAGGCTTCACTGACACACAGGTTATAAACAGTCATCTACCACCTAAATCTGGCCCTATAAGTACTTCAATTTATCCTGGGGCCTATTTGCTTTATTCTATCTGTTTTACTTTTTGATATCCTCTGCTTGGCTTCTTAAACAGTTGACTGCTACTTCTGTGGTAGCACAATATTCATTTTTGATGTTTGGCACAATAAACATGCAGAAACAGTATTTTACTATTTGTTTCACAAATGTACACCGTCGGTTTTTTCCCTGCATATATGTATATTTGTCTGTCTTTCTGGCTATCATCTATGTATTTAGCTCTCCATTCATTATGTGCATTTTCTTTTTGTCATATAGCAGATCTATGCAACTTTTATTCAGTTATTCATTCCAAGAGCCAAGCAGCAGAGACAGAAAAATGAGAAATACAGTCTTAGTCTTCATATACCTTATGTAACTTCATGTACCAAGTTGGGCAGAGAGACAAGTGAACCTGTATTAATACAGCAGGTTGAGCACTACAATGAATGCATGTAAGACAACAAAATGATGGTGGGTGGGGAGGTGTGGGCACATTAAAAAGGAGGTGAAACTTGAGCTGAATCCTAAAGATTTGGCCACACACGAGTGTGTGTGTATGAGAATGGGGGTGATGGTAGGAGTAAAATGTGTGGTAAGAAGTAGGGAACATTCCTGAAGAGAAGCAGCCTGTGCAATGGACAGAGGCATCAGTGAGTGAGCAAACATGGCTGAGTTTGGGGAAATGTAAACTGTCCAGTATGTTGCTGCACAGAGTGTAAATGGTAATACACTGAGGGATGAGACTGGAGAGATTGACAGGGATACAAGGTTATAAACAGAACAATAGTTAGATTTGCGATCTAGAAATATTTTTCTACTAGTGGCAGTGTGTGTAATGTATGGAATGGGGTCTTGGGGATGCCACAGATGAGCTCAGTAAGAAAGCTACAAAAGAAAATAATTAGGTTTGCTGAAGATATAATAATAAAAAAGACTCAACAGTGATTTGGAGACAGAATTGATAGGGTTTTGTAAATGGATTATAGCTTTAGGGAGTCAAGGTTGACGAATATATTACCAGATAGGTGAACTTTGAAGTATCTGGGAGAACTACCAATGTCTGGTAGGCAGTTGGTTACCTACGTCTAAATCTCAAAATATTTGGAAGGCCATATGGGATAGATGATAGGCAAAGCATGGATGTACCAGAGGTCACCAAAGGTAAGAAGGTATTCTTAGGCAAGAGCTCTGGGAAAAGAAGCATGTATGGGGTAAGTACATGAAAAGGAACTGATATAGGAGTAATAGACAAATTACTGTTTTGGGCACAAAATAGTAAATTACACAAAGGAAAGGGGACATCAAAAGAGAGCAGAGAGTATTGTTCTGGAAACCAGGGAAGTAATAAGAATTTCAAGAAGGAAATGGTTAACAGAGTGAAGTAAAAGAAATTTATTTTATACCCAACTATACTAGGCAAACGGGAGGTTATTACTAATGGGATGTATCTTTTGTACAGAAATACTATGTTTTAGAAAAAGTTTGTTTAGATTAAAAAACAAAACAAATTAACTCAGTAATTTCAACTTGAAGCACTGTACCAATGTTTCTCATTTTTAAGTTTAAGATGTAAGAATATTTAGAAATCACTATGCAATTCAACTCTTTAATCATATAGATGATCTCTAGTTCTTAAAACTTTCAGTATAATATACAGCATACCTTTCTGCATTTGTAGCAAACATAATATGCATATCTATTCATGGCATAGCCAGCTGGATCATTGTAAAACCTCACACCAGGAGTTGTAATAGCTTCACTCTTATGCAGACCTTCATATTCCAATCTCATCAAGGCTTTTCTTCTGACATCTTCATAGAGTTCTTTTATTGGATCAAGCAGGTCTTTTAATACTATATGATTAATTTTGTTCTGAAATAAGAAAAGAACATTCTTTAACAGAATCATTTATTAATTAATTCAATGAACATTTAGTGTGTGTCCAAGAGCCAAGCATGTGTCAGGAGTAACCAGTCAGTAAACATGTTCTGTATAAAACACTATTTATAATCCTGCAAAGTCCAAATTCCCAAAAGCAGGGAAAACAGAGACAAATGGCACTCAATGCATGAAAATTCTCTATTTCTAACTTTACATTTCCTGAGTCTGAAATATATCTCTTGCTGCCTTAACCACTCTGGGAATAAAGGTTTCCTTAACACCAAAAATATGACACACTTATTTTGGGGTGTGGGTTTTCAGTCGTTGGTAGTATGTCAGGTGGTCAAGGTAAGTAGGTATTTTCTATACCACTTTCAGGCACCTATTTTCAGGTTCCTAAATGTGGCTTTTCTCTGTGGCACCTAAATGTGACTTCTCTAAGAGGGGAAAACAAAATATACTGTAATTGTTTTGAATAGCTCTCAATCTACACAACAATGCTAACTCTCTTCATGTTAAACACTTTTAAAGTAAAAAGACTAAAAAAAAAAAAACAAAACAGAAAGAACTTCACAGAACGAAAAGGAGTAAAGAATTAATAGGGAAAACACTGTTTCATTTTTTAACAAGAGTATATTACTAATTATTATTAGCTTACAAAACAACTTTCTACTTTGCTTACTCCTTTTGTAGAAATATGTTCAGTACCAAGAATTTTCTTCTTGTTTTAACTAACTCCAAAATAATCTCTACTGGCATTAATGGTCAAGATTTTGCTTTTAATAACAGGGACTAGAGAGCCCATTTTCTTTTCGGTAGTTACCCATGGCCATGTCAGATGATATAACTCTTAGGAGGTCTGAAAACAATACATACATCATTAATGCATAATGATGTTTAAATGAATCTTATCATGCAGTATGTTTAATTCAACTTAGCAAGCTTTTAACTGACAGTAACTGTTTTTGTAATGTATTATAGCAGCTAGAGACACTTTAAAATATTCTCAGATACCACCTAGATAAGGAAGGCAGAAACTGATGGGGGCTGTTGGTGGAAAGCAAGCAGGAAAGGATACCAAGAGATTCTGATGCCCGTTTATTTTGAGAGATGAAAAGAAATAGAAGGTAGGTAATTTCAATTTTTTTTCCCACACCTTGCAAATGGGACAAGATATAAATCCAAATGTTATCCTTGGACCAAGCCATCTGTTTTCCAATACTCGTCGACAGCACTGTAAGTGGAATACGTGACTGCAGTCCAGCTTAAAAAACAAACGAGAAGGACATAAGCAAACACAGTGATGAGAAACATTTGAGTAACTGGGAAACTACTCAATGTAAGATGCAGAATAAAATCACAAAATAGAATATAATGAAATTTCAGCACTTCTTTCTTATGCATGGGACATTATTAACTAGGCCTCCAGCTTGTCCAGTTTTTACCATTTATTTATTAATGCCCCATATATAAAAGCTATTTATAAAGTAAGCTGGGTTAGGGAGAAACATAAAAGTATTCAGTTTTTGTCTTTCATGGTAGAAACTGCTGACTTAAAGATTTTTTTGGAGACTATTTATTATCTTAGAATCAATCATGAAGACTGAAAATACACATAAATAATGGTTAAAAAGTTAAAAAAACTTATTTACCAAAAACATTAGTAAATTATCTTATGAAGTATGTATAGATCAATTACATAATGCTATAAAATATTCTGCATTTCAGAAATTAAGAGATCAGCTACTTGAGAATCTAATAATCTCCCCCTTCTGAACATTTTATACATCCTTTTGATTATACGGGCTCACACAAATCACAAATTGAAGTTAATAGGACAGTTTTGCCCAGTGATTTCAATCATCTTTTTATCTGAGAACTGTATTTCTCCACATTGAAGTCTAGACACATTTAAAACCGGAGACAACCTGAATGGCTGGTGCTGCCGAGAGGGCTTCAGTGAAACATATCATGCACATGTCATCGGCATCTTGCTTCAGCGTTGTGGCATTTTTATCACAGCCGTGCAAACAGGGCAAACAATGTTCTTCATTTTTAACACCTCCACATGCATGGCCACAAGGGTGTGTCTTACTACAGGCTATCTTAGCATATTCCTATTAAAGAAGAATTATAATAGTATACAATGACCAAAAAGGGCACATATCCTGGTAATTATGCCTTATGTGTTAATTTTCCAAGATTTCTTTCCAACACGAAACACATATTAGAGCAAAGTAACAATTATTTGTATTCTTTGCTTAAATATAAACTAGGATTATTAACAAGAGTCTGTTTTTCTTTTAATGTCATTTAAAAAATTTCACTCCATGTAAAAGAAATGCTGATAATATGTCATCATGTATAGTCATGAAGCAAAAAGTTCTTATTGTATGTAACCTCCCAATCACCACCCCTCACCAAAATAGGGGTCGAAACAAAGGCAAAATAAAAAAATCCAAAAAAACCCCCAGATATTGCTATCTGAGCATTATCTAAATACTTATTAAATGGCTGAAAAACTAAAAATATTTGGATAGCATAGAGTCTGTGTATATAAGATGCTAGAAATTTATTTTAGGGAAATAAAAAAGCAAATGAAATTTACTCCATAGATATTTTAACTATTTCTAGGACAAAATTAAACATTAAATACTTATGAACATGGTAGGTGTGAAGCACCAAAAGTCTGGCTTGGGCTTGAGAGCCTTGTTTGATCCATTCTCTGGATTTGACAAGCAACACCTGACAAAGTAAAAGTGGACTGAGGCTGACCTCTAACTCCTGTTTATGTGAAATGAGAATATATGCTCTTCCTCCCTGGGATGGCCTGACTCTCTATATACGCACCTGGCAGTCTGCATCAGAACAAACACTGCCAACAGCAGATAGCTCCGTTCCATTCCTGGACCCACAGAAGCGACATGCTTCTGAGCTACTTGTGGTAGGTTTGCCTAGGTTCAAGCAGAAAAAGGAAAATACTCCTTAAGGACATGCTTTCTATATATTCTAATATGACTAGTTTTAAAAACACAAATCAGGGCTGGCTCAAATGGCAGAGCGCCTGCCTAGCAAGTGCAAAGCCCTGAGTTCATTCAAACCCCAGTCCCACCAAAATCAAACCAGATTTGTATCAGTTGCCAACACTGGAAAATTAGTCAAGGGGTGTAAGTTGCTCCAATTATAAAGAAAATAATTACAAAAAGGGAAAAGAAACTAAAGACGTATCTGAAGCCAAATAAACTCTTGACTGGGTTATGTTCTTAGTAAAGGAAACAGATTAGACAGCTAGTCAAGCTAGCCGACTGGGCAGATGTGGCAAACGCCTCACTCCAAATGCACAATACCAGATAAACACAACTAAGAAATAATAAACTAAAATACCTGGAATAAAAGGGAGTGCCTAAGTATTTTTATATGATAACAAAATTTATACAGCAGAGGACGAAGTCCATGATCAGAGTATGAAACAAAATATTCTGAATGATTTTCAAAAAAAAATATGCTAAACTGATGATACAAAATAAGATTTCCAAGCTGAACTTAAAAGCCTAAGATTTTTTAAGTTTGTAAATTCAATGAATTGAAAATTATTTTTGTTTTAATTTTTGTTTGTGGCAGCATTGGGATTTGAACACAGGGCCTCATGCTTGCTAGACAGGCACTCTTCCACTTGAGTCACTCTGCCAGCCCTTTTTTTGGGTTGAGTATTTTTGAGATAGGACCTTGATTTTTTGCCTGGGATTCTGTTCTGTATTCCTCTTTAGTTTTTATCCTATCAGGTCTCCACAAGTCTTATGAATCTTAAAATGTTAGCCAACTGAAATTTTAGCTGCATTAATATATTTAATATAGTTTATTTTCTTTATAAGAACTGCTATTATTGACAACTTGTATGACTTTGCCCAACTACACAGTCACATCTACAAAATTCATCCTACTCCCAGTCATAAGCACCCACTTTGAGCTTTATATTTTCTCCATTAGAATTCACATATTCCTTTCTAATCAGCAACACTTTAAGAGAAAATCTTGAAGAATTTTAACTTGATTAATGAATGGCCTTCTATATTACTTTATATTGTACTTCTCATATCATTGGGTTCATTAATTGTGCCTTTGTCATAACGATAACTTACAGCAAACATCTGTAGACGCATATGATGTGTAAAATGCTCAAGGACTAGAATACAATATTGGTCATTATTGTAGCACTAGGTGATATCCAAGACTTCCATGTATTTGATGACTGTAGAACGATTTTAATGACCATCTAATTATAACAACAATAACTGTGATGCTCATCAATGGCAAACCAGGTTAGTCAAGAACACTATTCTAGTAAACATAATTAATGCAGACAGTGGTCAATGCCATAATTAAACATCAGGATATCACTTAAAATCATTCATACCAGATAGATCAGTATCTAGTTTAGTCATAATTTGTAAGCATGGTTCCCCTTTTAAAGGCATGATCCAATCTTTAATTCTCTCTTTACCTGTGTGTTCCCGGAATTCTACCATTGCCTTCATTGTTTTAGAATCTGCTAGTGCCATTAACCAGAACAATTTGGTTCTACCACAACCTTCGTGAAGGTCAACCTTAATAGCTTCTTCTTCTTCTTTGAAGACCTATTGTTTCATTAAAGAAAAGGGAAAATATATGTACTTATCACTCTGAAAGAAGAAGTATGAAATTTATTTAATAATGGCTTTCATTTAAAAAGCACTGTAAGAAGTTCCAGATATTTCCAATTTTTATGAAAGTGAATGTAAGTCTTGAAAAGTTAAGCAACGTGATAAGTTTACAGTTGGTAAGTGAGCCAGCTGGGAACTCAGCCAAGATCACTGAAGTCACAGCCCATTTTTTCCCATTCTTTTCCACATTTACTTTAAAATTCATTAAATGTACTTCATGATCCAGGTCTTGTGCTGGATATAAAGATAGAAATTTTCACCTGTCTTTGGTGAGTTTTGGTTCGACGATGAAGATGAAGGAATCTGTCGCAGTCAGTACATAAATTTCCACAGACGTTGCATAAAATGATAGCTGCAGTTTCACCATCATCATGGTTATCACACATAGGCTACAATAAGACATTTCCACATGCTGCATTAGACTAACAAGAAAGCCCTAGATACTGAAACAAATTTATAACATAACAGGATGATGTTCCAAAGTCTGTTAATGGTTTTAGAACCTGAATGTTAAAGGGAATTATGGCAAGTGTACTGCATTATAAAAATCTCTCAAAACTACTCAGTGATTAATGTGCTATGCAGATGTAGTGATTAATAACATGAGAATGTTTCTCTACTTACTGATTTAATTAAGTATCTTCACATTCTGTATCTAAATATTCTGTATGCTAAATGAGTAAATAACTACTGTTTAAAACTTGAAGACTAGAGTAGATGCACGGCTCAAGCAGTAGAGCACTAGCGTAGCAAGTGTGCGAAGCCCTGAGTTAAAACCCCAGTACCATTAAAAAAAATACCCAAACCAAAAATCCCCTAACCCTCCACCCCCAAAAAACTTGAACATTAATAAGATAATGTTGAAAGGACCTATATAATGTCTTCCTTTCAGTGAACCTAAAAATATCACCAAACATACCTTACTTACACCTGTGATGGAGTGTCAGGTTGCCTCTCTTACTGCTTTTTTTCCTTCCTACCATAAGACCGATTACATTTTAGTACAAAATCTAGACAGAGTCTGGTTACAATTTTTGATATGATGCAAACATGACTCAGAGAAGGAGAAAGGTCTTTTATAATTAGAATTCCCTAAAGTTTTTAATATACTATGAAGAGGGGGCTCAAGTCAAAAAGATTCATGATATGAACTTGACTAACATGGACATAGTTTTCAAAGTGACTGACTAATTGTGTATTTTGGCTTGCTGGGTCTTTTCTAGGTTAAGCTAAGGTTGATTATAAAGAAAAAAATGTAAATTCTTATAAAGTAATTCTGATCTTACCATTTGTTTTTGTTGCCCATCCTTTCCCATCCACCTTCCAGAGGAGAGGCGATCCACATGGTCCTGGTCAAGAACACACAGTGATGCTAGAGCAAGCCAGAGCTGTTGAGAAGAAAGGTTGTTACACTGCTCAATTCTTAGGAAACACTTATAAAATGCTGTTTGACATGTGACAACAGCTCAAAAAAATGCTGGCTGAATTTGAAAATATGTAAGGCGGTACAATAGCTGTTTAGTTTTGTATAGTCATGTGAATACTTGGGTACATATTAAATTCTTCTAGATAGTAATAGTTCTGTGGAAGTTTCCATTGCCTCAAAGGGCTAAGCACTATACTTGGTGTACCATATCAGAAATAAGTGTCTGGTAAGCTTTTGAAAATTGCTCTCAAAAAGCTTTGTGAGGCTTGAAGGATAAGTTTCAGTTTTACATAAAATGATATGTTCCTTCATTAACGAAAAAGCAGAAACTTAGTTAACTGGCTTAACTCTAGGAAGTACATGTGTGCATCAATGGAGAAGAAGAGCAAGCGATGGTAAAACAGGGATAGAAAAAAAAACAGAAGAAAACTAATGCACATAAGGAGAAAGGAAATGCAGAATGAAAGAACTCATGAGTGTACAAAAGGGTTACTATGAAAAACACTTGCTTCAGGTATCACACTTACCACCAAGAAAGTATTTCCCTAGGGCTTTCTTTCCCTAGGGCTTTTTATCAGATTTCTGAGGATTAATCTAAGCAATTTCTACCAGTGCTCATTTCTTCCTAATATTGTCACATTGCTGTGTTTCAACAAAATCTGAAATCTCTTTTGGAACTATATGACATTTGGTGGGTTAAAATGTACTATCTATGTCTCATATGAAGAATGTAATCCTACTTCCTCAGGGATTTCAACCCATTCTACCATTGGCAAGCACTTTTTACTTTTAACAGTATAAGCGACATCCCCAGTAGGTAAGTTACAGAGTTCTTCAGTAGAAACAACTAGGCCACATAAAAAGGAGGAGGAAAGAGCCTCGTCTTCAAAGGATCATCAGTCTGTCACAGTAAAATGCTACTAAATTTATTGCAGTAAGCTACAATAAATAGGTCATTAGAAAGAGAAGCACAATGTAATTTAATCTTTTTTAACCATCATACCCTTAGCTTCCTAAATAATAACAAAAACAAGTGATATAGAGCACCTAGGGTGAACAGTAATGACTATCATATTTAGTCATAATTCATGAAAGTCCTTTAGGTTTTCTTCAATAAATATTTAGTTGAAATATGAATTAAGTTGATTTATTGATCAAAATTTGTTCAAATTTATTACTAAAAAAAGAACATACAATTATACAGAACAAATTAAAAAAAACCTACTCTAGTTGTTGCAATACATCTCACTGGAGACCTAAATTCTTCTTCCATCTTGGTCAAGGCAATGATAGTTTCTGCAATAGAATTTTTTGTCACTCGGGACCAAGCTTCTGACAGATGACCCTATTGAGCAGGACAGAATATTTTAAATAAGTGACCAGAAATGTATTATCATAGCAAATTCTTTTCTCTTAAATGACATCTCTTACCAAAAGGAAAGATTTATTTGTAGCAAGACTATGTAATTTTATATCTAGGGGCAAAGACTTTAGAAGTTAAAAAAAAAATCCTTCATAACCCTATTAAGAATTCAACCTCTGATGTACTTTGATGATTTAAAAGTATGTAGGATTTTACTTTAAAAAGTAAGTAAGAATATTCATTTCCTACAGAATTCAAGGGGATTTGGTCTCACAGAACAAAAATAAAGGTAGAAAGGTATCTATGCTTGAAAAATTTTGGTTCTAAAGCCATGTTATTTAACACTGAAATTTATACACCTAAGTTAATTGCTTTTAGATTGTATTACTGGAACCCAAAGGCATAAATGGTTTGGACTATAATTACTCTTATTTGGTCTGCTGAATTTTTCTAGTGCTAGGGATTGAACTCAGAGCCTTGTGCATTGCAATGATTTTTTTAAATGAAGTATTAACTATCACGGAATTTAGGTATTCGAACATACTCATCCAATTAACATCCTGAGAAAGCTTATTCACTATAAAGGTTCCACACTTTTGGAAATAGTGATAGAACTGCATCTTTGTTGCAGAATATCCTCCCACTTCTCGTATCTCCATGTTATCAATATGTTAACTGACAGTTCAATTCCCCCTTCTCCTCCAAAATGCCTTGTGTTCACTCTGCCTCTCAGGGACCTACATCCCATAATGCTTGTCCTCCTCACATTAACTCTTGGAAACACAATGCAATGTGAGGAAACTGACATTACGGATCAACTAGTAAGAGCCATATGCTCCGTGAAGCAATCCCCTGCCCTCTACACTCCCAGATTTTCCCCAAAGCCAGTATCTTATGGCAGCGGCATAGGACATTATTAAAGATTTATAAAGAATTTATAAACTATGAGGACTGAAGAGGATGAGAAACTTCTGCCTCTGGGAGTTTTTTCCTTAGGATCTGAAAGAGCATATTTTATTTTATTACATTTTAAAAGTCCTAAAAGACTTCTGTAATATTTCTCAAGTAAGTTAATTGGGAAGTTAGAAATGCACGTAGTTTACATTATTGCCAAATTTATTACTTATTGAAAAGACAAATGGCACAGTAGCTAAACGTACTAAAGATAGTCCCTAAATAAAGGACTAATGTCCTCCTATCAGTTCAGCAGACCAAGCTATTTTTCTCCGTCACATTCCTGCTGTACCTCTTTGCTGTCATGGGAGAATGGAAACTTACTGCTGCCATATCCTTAATAAGTTTAATGATGATCTCTGAGATCTGAGTAGGAGTTGAGCCCTTCATCCACCAATGACTTTCACCACGTCGAAGATAACTAAAAAGAAAAGTCAGCATTTGTAAACCAAAACCAACCAAGTATTTGGTAGTTATTACAAATGAAAAGATAAAAATGCTATTTCAGCAAACAGCATTTTAATTCTTTAAGTGACTTAATCTGTTAAAACATTTGTTTATTTAATTATAGGCAGGATTTTGCTGTGTCAGCCTCCAAAGAGATGGGATTATAGGTATGTGCCACGACATTCAGTCTACAATTAAAACCTTTTCAGAGAAAGTTCATTAAAACTTTACCCCAAATCTATCTCTTCAATCTTGAGGGCAGCCATCCTGATTTATGATCCTTTTTGGATATTTGTTTGCACATTATTTCTGTGTGTATTTTCTAGAATAATGATATTTAAAGTATAGTCCTTGGACCACACACTGTTTCCAATGAACATGGAGATAATAAGGAGCTTCTATTAGCCTATAAGCCAGCTATATCACTAAGCACACTACTGTGTACTTCAGCTGACATTTTTTTTCTTAACGAGACTTTCTACATGAAGGAAGTGATACACTGATTGACATTCTGGTGTTATCTGCTTATTGTTATGGATTGGCTCTATATCTGCACTATGCCATATGTCTCTAATTTTCCATGGTTATACACAATTACAGAATGTCTTTGCATATATTCTTTTGTGCACATGCATAAGTCTTAGAAATGGTGGGTCAAAGGATATGCATATTTAAGATATAAGGAAATATTATCCAATTGACATCCGTAAGTGCTGAGACAATTTATATTAGATAAATGTGCTTATTCCTTCACAGAGTTGCTAAAGCAGTTGTTTAATCTATATTCATCTGAGGCAAGGAAGGCATGTTTTCATTCGTTTATTGGCATTTAATTTTTTAAGTTGTTTGCCTTTTATAGGCATTATTTTAATATTATGGCAAATAATTGTTTATTATAGATATTTAAATATTTTTCTCATTTAGTTGCTTATATTTTAAGACATCTTAATAGTATCAGCTATCAATTACTTTAATTTTTTTTGTCAAATCTCTGAATATTTTTCTTTTAGCACGATAACTTTTGGGTTCAGTGTTTTGTTAGGACTAGCTTCCCAAATTGAAGATTAGAAAAATATTCTAATAGTTTTTTAATGAATTTTTTATTAGGAAATATTCATTATACAGAGGGGATTCGTAGTGACAATTCTGCTTAGACTTATATTGTACATTATTTACACTGTCCCCTCTAATACAGTTTTAAAATAAATATACATATAATTTTAACTGATCTGAAGTTTAATCTCTCCTTATGTTATTTATTCATTAATTCATTTTTATTGTGAAAAGTTTAGTTTTATATATGATAAGTAGGGATCTACAGTCTTTTTCAATATGGATACCCAAATATCCTAATACTATACATATAGCTTACTTTCTATTCCTCACTAATTGCAAATGACACTTTTATTACATATGATATTTCTTTTACACATGAGTTATTGTTTATGGGTACTATTTGGTGAGTGAGCTAGCAAAGTAATGTGAAATCATGCTTTAATTCCATTTTTTGGTACTAAAACATGCAATGGCGAACCTGGAGTTGAAAATCATGGGAAGTGTGACCGTGGTAACTCCTTTGCCCACAGTGGTCCCAGCAGTCCCAGTGATGGTGGTTCCTTTGGCTTTCAGCTGCACAGTGAGCGCTTTGGCAATACATCCTAGAAACATGTCCAAGATACCCAGCTTATTCCAATCTCCTTTCTCCGTTGAATGAATGATATCACTGATGTCTGCTGGGGGCAAAGATTTCACTCCTATAATGCTGGCCAGACGATTAGGGGTTACTTCTGGCAAAACTCGTCTTAGTAAGGAGGTCACCTGGTAAAAATAAAAATCCATTTCAAGATTGATGGTTTAATTTTTTTAATGTACTGAGCTCCCATTCTGTAATTTTATAATCTGTGTATGAAAACAAATATTTAAATACTATTTCTAATTTTGAGAAGAAAAGACATATGATTTGAACACTTTTTAATGTCTGGAGTGGTAGTTACCAAGAAAAAACATGTCTTCTTTTTTGGTTCAGACTAAATGACATGTATTTCATGGTAAAAAGATGATCAATAGCCAGAATACTATTTATCACAATACAGTAGTGATAAACAGTAGTAAAATGGAACATATTTTACTTTTCTCTACTCTCATTATAATGAGTTAAAAATAAAATAATATGGAAAATCATAGGCCCCAAACAAAACATGAAATAAAAAAACAAAGATCCATATGGCCCTGAGGTGATTCTCTTTGCCTTGTGAATTTTAACAGTGTTTCAAGTCACAAGGAAGCACAAAGGTAAGTGGCATGATGGGTCACCTGTCTCTGGACCCTAGGAGAGGCTGTGTGAAGCAGGGAGAAGAGATCCTGAAGCAGGGTCAGCTGTTGAGCCAGATACTGCCGGCCGACGTTAGAGCCACTCAATGCTAAAACCATGGAGAGCAGCTCAAAGCAGTAAGCGTCAGAGGAGGCATCTTCATCATTTGGCTGAGAATTGGCATTCTCTTTGCTTGATATGGCATGCTCCCATTCTTCTCGAACTCTGGTGGCTTCCATGCGAATAGCTTGGACAATGTGAGCACACACCTATGTGAAGGCAATGTAGAAAATGTAAAAACACATTTGCAAGTCTGATTTACTACTCTTAATAAAACAAACAAAATGGGATACCAATACAAGTTAAGGCTCAATTTAACACTCTTCCTCTCAGTTAATTCTCCATTATACCATTCTTTTATCTCTTTTTTCTTTTGATGGTACTGCAGATTGAATTCAGGGCCTCAAGCTTGCTAGGCAGGCTATCACTTGAGCCACACCTCCAGCCTTTTTTGCTTTCATTATTTTTTTGATAGGATCTTGCATATATGCCCAGGCTGGCCTTCACTGATCCCCCTATTTAGACTTCCCACATAGCCAGGATGACAGGCAGGAGCCATAATGCCCAGCATTGGCTGAGATGGGGGATCTTACAAACTTTTTGCCCACACTGACCTTGAACCATGATCTTCCCAATCTCCACCTTCCAAAGCTAGAATTACAGGTGTCACCAGTGCCTACCTTATTCGACTTTTGAAGAGCTATCTTTTTAGGTTATCAGGCATCCATTTACAGAACAATCTAGCACTATCCCCACACCCACTTATATTTTGAAATATTAACACTGGTTTAGTTAGCTCTATTAAACTGCTGAATAAAACAAGACAACCTCCCTCCACAATCTCCCCCCCACTACCCCCAAAAAAACCAGGGACAAAAATGCAAATGTAGTTTGATGTAGCTGGGTATTTGTGCCCCCCAATAAAACAAGGTAGCTGAACACAAGAAGTAGAAAAGAGCAGCAAGGTAAGAAACATTCACAACAAACTCTTCAAAGTTACATAAGTATGGCAATATAATCATTCCTCTCTAGAAAAAGACAAATTCCCAGGATTTATAAAAAAGCCAGCATGAAAAAGCCTGCATAAATTCTGGAAGATATTTTATAGTCTAAATACAAACCAACCAACCAAAACTGACAGAGACAAGGCAGTAGCTATTAACTGACCTGTTTTTGTAAGTTAGTCAGTTTACTTCTGCTGAATATTATGCCAACCATATGTTCTTTCAGGTCAGCATCTGATGTAGCCTTTATAGAGAAAAGAAAAAAAAAACATGAAGCATGCTCTTTAAAGAAAATGTGTATAGTTGACAATTCAAAGTATCTTGAGAATTACGTATGCAGATATTTAAGGTGAATTTACTTTACATTGAGGTTTTTAACACTAAGAGGATAAAGTCTGAGGAAATCATTTGGCTGAAGTGAGTAGAACTAAGGAGATGAAATCATTAAAAAAAGAGGAAACTTGGTAAAACTAAAACTAAAAGCTAATTTCCTGAAAAGATAGAAATGAATCTTGCTACACTCTCCAATAAAAATAGGAGACACAAATTACCAACATAAGGTATAAGAAGAAGAGATATTACTACAGATTCTATAGACATTAAAAGGATAAAGGCATACTTTAGTGTATAACTTATGCCAATAATTCAGCATCTTAGATGACACAATTACTTGAATGTCAGAACTACCAAAGCTCACTTAAGAAGAAAATGAATTTGTAGAGCATTTTCAATACTTAAATACTAGCTAGATGATACATAAATCTCTTTTAGATGTTTCATCTTTGTTTTCTTTGTTGACTTACTTCATCATTTAGTTTTGCTTTCTAACACAACGTCATTGAGATGTAGTTTCCATAGTACACTATTCACCTCCTTGAAGTCTACAACTTCCATGGGTTTTGATATATTCACAGGGCACATGTGCAACTATCATCAGAGTCAATTTGAGAGCACTTTCATCACCACCCACACCCCTTGCAAAGAATCACTATGTCACATACCTAGCATCTTCTCGTTCATCTTTTTTTTTAAATTGAGAACAAACTACCTATAAGGTAACACACACTAATTAAAATGTACAAAAACATATTGGCTATTCTACTGAATAGAAGTAAAAAAGTGGAAAAAGAGAAATACAGAAGAATATCTATTCTGACGGAAATTCTTAGCAGACTAGGAATATAAGGGAACGTCCTCAATCTGATCAAAAGCATTTACAAAAAAATCTATAGTTAACATTACACTTAATGGTAAAAGGTTGAATGTTTTCTTTTAGGATCAAGAACAAAGCAAAAATATTCCTTCTCTTCAGTTCCACTCAACACAGTAATGCAGGGCTTCACCAGTGCAATGATATAAGAGGTTGAGTCTTTCTTCTTAGGTTTAATGTTTTAATTTAGACAAAATAAATAAAGCATTGTATTTTAGAAGAAATTTTAAGAATGTTGTAAAACATAGTTATTTCAGTAAAAATTTATGAATACATGTATGACTAATTACACCATGGTGGACACACAGACAAATCACACATGTATTTGGTCTTTAAGGAGGTATGGTTCAGTGGGAGAGAAAAAAAAATATGTAGATAAACACAAAAAGAGAAAAACCAAGACGAGGCATACATAGATAACTATGAAATTTAGCAGAGGAAAAATTGCTTTTTGTTTGCAGAAATCATAAAGAAGGTTATTGGAGAAGATAGTACCTTTGAATTGGGATATGAAAGACAAATAAAATAGAGATAGAAGATAATTGATAGGGCATGACACAGTAAATGACTAAGTTAATTTTACAAATGCTAACAACTGAATACAGTAGCTCCAGGTATACAGCAAGTTTTGCTGTGACTTAAAATACTAGCTAGGTTATACATGAACAAATGCTGAATTTCCTTTAGATTTCTCCTTCATCATTTTTTAATCAAAGTAAGAAAAAATTAACAGCATATAAACTATTATTACATCCCAATTAAAATAAGCAGTGCATGGATTAGTTCTGTGAACAAAAGAAAGTGAAAAAGGGAAATAAATTTTTAGAATACAAATAAATACATTGTATACTTTTTCTTCTCCTTCTGGTGATGACAAAAGTGCTTTTTCCTCTTGCTCTGGTGTAGGTTCAGCATCTCCAGAGATGAGCTTTCCAAATACCTGATGAAGGCAGACACATGAGATTTAATGACAGGATTTACCACTGGGAAAGTTAAACCTGAGAGTGCAGATTTTTTATTATGCTATTCCTTTACATCCCATTACTTGTCTGAATGATGAATGTAACATTGGGTACAGGGAAAGGACTAAGAGAAGTAAAAATGGGCTACATTTGTAGCCAGAAAACCTCTAACAGGTTTTACAAAATATTTTGTTACACTCTCAAAATATATTATGTTCTATATACTCTACTTAGTGCTACAGTACATAGTAAGGACACTCACTTGAGATGTAATAAGTCTGAATACTCGTAGAGTCTCAGCCTCACAGTTCCTCTGCTGAGCCACACTGGCTGATATCTGGCCTGCAATTTTTGTGCTTTCACCATCTTTCCAGCCCAGGACTTTTACTTGTCGAACTCTTAGTGTATTTTCTGGGCCCTTTAATTCAATTTTGATGATGTGATTATCCCCTCCTGGAAGTTCACTTGTCACCCAGCCAATGTGCCTAGAATCCAGATCGACCTGGTTGAGTAGAAAAGAGACATGAACCAGATACAGCTGAATCACTTTTATCACTGTCCTAGACTTGGCATTACTAGCAGCAAGCTCAAACAACAACTGCATAGAGAGCAAAGTTTATTATGTTAATCACACTATCTTTAAATTTTGTGAGGATAAGTAATATTACCTACATGAGCTATAACACAGAAGAAACTGAAGTTAACATAGGTTGAATGATTCTCAGTAAGTGAGAATTAAAATCCAGGTTTGACTACCATATGGCTTCCCAGTGCAAGTTATGTGAGTGAAACCACGTCCAATAATTTCTATGATTATACTTTACCCACAGAAACACATTAAAGCACCATTAACGGTGAGTATTTTCACTGGGTACGGTGGTACAAGATTGTCAATCCACTGATACAGGAGGCATAAATAGAAGGATCAGGGTACAGGCTGGTCCGGCAGAAATGTGAGACCCTATTTAGAAAAATAACTAAAGCATAAAGGACTGGACTGGGGTGTGGCTCAAGTGGTAGAGCATCTGCCTAGTAAGCACAATGCCTTTAGTTCAAACCTTCAGTTCAATACGCTGTTACTTAATATTCTTCAGTTTTTGAAGACAAATTACGTAATATGTAAGTTCACATTTGTGATTCCTTATTTCACTGAATTTTATTGAGAATGTAATTTTCAGAGATTAAATGTCAGTACACTGTGGAATGTTTCTAATTATTTCTTGCTGAAATTCAATTTTTCTATGGAATTTGATAACCAAGAAAAGATCTGGAGACTTCTACATGATTTATTTAGACATTAAATTTGTAATTTTAATTTATGTCATTTTTTCCTTAGGGCATTAAGTACGAACGACTACTATCTCATTGAATGGATTATCTTATTTCTTTATAATTTGAACAAAATTTATTATTTGCTTTATCTAAAACCTCAATACGACTTGGAACAAACCCAACGCCTCCCCTCTCACTGACCAACTTTTGTGAGATCAAGTCATCTAGAAGAACAGCTTTGACAAAGTTTCCCTAATATAAATAACAGATTTTGTACACAATCTCAGGTTCCTGCCCAGTTAAGGGTTAACTTGTTCCTAGAATTGTTTTGTAAACTGACTTGCAATCTAGTCATGGTTAAAGTTCTGTGATAGATTTTTTTTTAGGCTAGGAGACAGCAACCCAAGTTATGGGGCTGAATATGAATTAGATCTGGATGAAATATAAGGAGCCCTTTGTCTTTATAGGGAAGTAAGGAATGGGAGACTCTGGGCACAATATCATCATGTAGTCTCACAACTGGAGAATGTTTTGGGCACAAGTTATAAGGTGTGTAGCACAGGGATGGTTGTTACTATCCATGTGTACGCCACTCGTCAAGTTAAAGGTTTGTAAATAGATGATTCTCTATACCAATACTTTGGTAGTGTGCCAAAACTGGAACTCAACAGTGGAGGCTGGTAGCAAACATTTAATGACAAAATTTCAATTACCTGCTTTATTCTGCATAAATCTTCTACTGCTTTGCCAGTTAAGAAGGTCATTGAGGTAACTTTATTCTAAAATAGATAATTCAAAACAGTTATGCTATATTTCTGCTTTGGAACTTACAATGATTTTTTACAACCTAGTAATGCCACATTACTTTTCTGCCTATTTTTTGTATAGTCTTTTCTAACTGACCCCACACCATCTGTCCAACTAAACACAATTCTCACAGCTCCAGTCTTGACATACTCTCACAAATTCTACCTTAAATGTACCATTTCAGCCTTTTTTCATGGGTTTTCTCATAGGTTGATATTATCTTTTTACCCAAACTCTAAACTTTCAAATTCTACATCTTCAAAGTCTTTCAACAACTCTGCTTTCTATTCATGTCCCACTCTTCTAACTGTATTCTCAGTGCTTTTGAAGCAAAGCAAAGAAGGTAACTTAACTAATAGATACTAATGAATGTCACTATGACTGCCTTACAGCTATGGAGAAGGGTATTTGATAACTAGGGGGGTTCCATTTCCTTAAGACACTTGCCAAACTAGGGAGGCAACATTCACACAAATGATAAATATCAAACATACAAGTACAGTACCTTTAAGTACTGAAAACAAGTCATGTTTGCACAAGAGCCACAGATCTTAAGGTTGAACAAGTTTTATGCAAAGCACATCAAAAAAGAGATCAACATACTAATTCCTTTTAGAGTTCCACACTATGAATATTATAGGCCAATGCAACTCAAACAAACAAATGCTATGGACAGTTGGCAGTTTGGTGGACACAGATATATAGGCTCAAAGAGGACACAAACAAAGTCTTTAAAAAGGAACATAGATATTCAGCTTACATACCAGGAATTTAAAAAATGCATAGTTATGATTATCTGCTCTTAGAAGAGACAAAAAATGTCAAATTGATTATAATCATTATTCTGAGGAAGAGTATGCCCTTGGTGTAGAATGTACTATGAGTCAAAGATAACTATGTACTGAGAAGTGAATGCTAGCAAGAAAAGTGTTTTGATTTATTACACTTGATTTTATGGTAAAGTAGATGTACCCATTGGAAATTCTTGGGTCTGAACAGGAAATAAGTTCATAATATATTAGCTAAGCTCCTGTTTTTTATTCCACACCGGGAAAAAGCTGAATGTATACTGATGTACAGGAGTTGGTGGCTGATGTGGAAAGGAGTGCTTTGATGGCAGAGTCCATTGCTGTGCTTGGCTTTATATCCAGGTTATCTGAGACCCAAACACACCATTACGATTTTTACTAGCAAGAGAATGTGCAAATGTATGGGCATAGCTCCTCACTGGTCTAAGGGGACTCATTAGACTGGATCTGCTAGAAAGTCATGCCCACTTAGAGGGAAAAATTCGAAGCAGTATCTTCCCCAGAATGAAGGTAGAAGAATGGCAGTTTGGCAGCTGCTACTATTTTCTTGGCTCAGGGAAATAGATCTTTTTTCCTTTGCTTAGTGCCTTTTTTGAAAGAGTGCTTAATTCAATTGAGACATGTTAAATAAACAGGGCTAGGGAGAATATAAATCATTATCATTTAAGTTAGTTCAGGACCATCTCCCCCCTACCCCATGCCTGCGGTTGAGAAGTAGAAACCTGAAGCTAGCTAATTACATCACAAATCAAAGTATACTAAATACCATTAGAGTAATACAAAAAAGAACCTACTGGAGAAAAGAGTAAGAATTACCCAGAAAGGATTTCTCTCTGCTGAGTCTTAAGAGATCTTGGGAGAATCTGATAAGCAGTTTAAGGGGAATATTTCTAGGTCAAGGGAATAGCTTAAACAAAGGCATGGAAGTAGAAAATTAAGATTTTTACTTTGCTTAGCTGCAGCTGTGGTACATTTAATCAGATTTTTTTTTCAGAATTTATCTTGCATACTGTCCCCAATCATATTAATTTATTTTTAGATTTAAGATTTATTTGAGGAATATAAAAATGCTGTTTTATTGGTGAAGTTTCAAGTGATAAATCTTTTTGGTAAACTCAGAAATGAGAATGCATGATTACTAACAGTAATCAGTCTGGAAAGAACTAATTAACTAGACATAAGTTAGGTTCCCTTTCTTACCCCAAGATCCCGTGAATTGTCCACATGAACAGATACATAGCGGGCATTAATTCCTTTTACACAGTTGATAGTGATGCTCTTAGTTTTGTTTTTGTCTTCATCTCCTGATTCCCAAAAAGTCTCTGTGGAACCATCTGTCAAACTGCCAATCATGGCAGGTCGGCTTGAAGTTTTTATGTCAACAATGCTGGTTAAGTCCTTTAAACACACAACTATGCATAATTCCTATCAGAAACAAATATAAGCATTCATAATATTCAAAAAATCTGTCATGATGAGAAAACAGACATTTGATAATAAATAATGTGAGACAGAATCCAATTATTTATGAGTAACTCTTAGATTTCCCTTAAATACACCATTGAATATTAGGACAATAAGCAGACAATAACCATTCAGTCACTGACCTGACTCATAGCTTCAAAGCCAGATTGTATACTGATGCTAAAACTCTCCTCACTATCTCCATCATCTGATTTTGACAGAATATTGTTAATGTGATGAAAGACATTGCTCTGATGGAGGAACTGATGATCAGATTGCTTGAATTTGAGACTCCAGCATCTAAAAAGCAATATAAATATATAAGCAATATATGCAATAATTATTTTCTAGGAATATTCAAGGAACTCCTAGAATAGCTACCATGCTTTATAGCTATACCTGAAAAAAAATCTTAATGATTTAGTAAAAAAATAGAAATTAACAAACTTCAGGGAGTAAAATCATTGCAATTTGTTTTTTTTTTGAGAAATAAAAATAATTTCTTTGTAACAAAATAAGTTATAAAGAAAATTCACCTGCTTTAAATACAGAAAAATAGAAGCAAAAGGGTAATGAATCTGTTGGGTACCCAAGCATTGCACCAACTATAAGAGCTTCTCAAAGTGATCTGTATTATAACGCCACAATAATTCATTAGCGTATAATGCAACCTACATTTCAAAAATCTTATGAGGACACAATGTATCTTTCTTCCACTGGTCTTATCATTAGGAATCTGGGAAGCCAAATCATTCCACCATCTTATCTGTTGTATAAATCAATGCAAAATTTCTTTATATCTATAGTTCAGTATAAACCAAAAAATAAGGTTCACAATGTAAAATAAAAGTAATGCCAAACTCTCAACAGATTATGTGATGCTCCTTAGGGTAGTTTCCAAATTGGCTGCATATTACTGGAATCCACTTTTCTTTATGTTCTTTTCAAGTCTAAACTCTGTCTTGGATTTTTGTTTCTGAAATTTCATTTTCCCTTTTTCATTTTGTGACACTGAAATGATCTGAAGTAGGAGGGAGGGAAAAGCAAGGGAGATTGTTACAGCAATCATTTAGAGGACTAAGAAGTGTATTATCCATATTTTACAGACAGACAAACAAGTGTCAGCTCAAAGGAAGGGTATTCTAAATTAGGACAGGAAGGAGGAAGCCACCACTTACATGGATTCTTGTATCTTATCATTTAAAGAGGTTTTTTCAAGCATTTAGTAACTGTGCATACTCCATAAAATTTTTTCTCCAACAGTACCTAAAATACTTAAATACAAGAATACCTAAGAGCCATTTGCTGCAGTGAACTGCCACTGGGGAGAGACATCATAAGATCCGAGATTGTCTGAAGTAAACGGTGAAATGTGTGTGGCAAAGGATGAGCAGCTTCACCTGCAATCACTATATCTGAGAGTGGATGCTCACATACTCTTGTATCTTTCTCCTAAAATAGAAATCAAAAGCAAGCTTATCAGTTTGTACACTGGAAGAACTTTCTTCACAAAAAATTATTATGTATATCCAATCCATACCCAATACACAAAGTAAGATTTCCTAATTATATTTGTAATATTTCTACACAAAAAGTGATAAGGTTACATACCAATAAAATGAGCGAACAAATGAATACCATATATGCACATCAATTCTAGTATACACACAAATATATTAGTAGAGTGAGTCTAATGTGTTATATGTATGCATGCATATGTATGTGTGTATATATATGTATACAAGTTTTGTGTATATAGTTATATATTTAATGCAGCTCTAGAAGTTGGAGGTCATCACTAGTTCATATGACATTTTTAAGTGAATGAGACAAAAAAACTCCTTTTAAAAGCAGAGATACCACAGTTTGAAAAGAGAAACAGGAGTTGGATTTCATTTCTCATTCAAACCCTCAGTTAAGGTGACCCTTTTAATAATATTACCTATGGAGTAACATTTATAATGGAAAACTATTTAATAAAGTACTTTAAATTCCTAAAGAAAGATTTCTTAAGAAACTGATCAAAATTGCCTAGTTAGTTAAAACTGGAGCCTCACAGAGCACTAAGTAGATATGTTTTAAAGCAGGGCTCTTAGGAAGCCCACATCTACAGAAGGTAAGCAGGTCATGGCAGAGAGTTGAGGGGGAGTAGTGGAGAGCACATGCACACTGTGGGAGGGCTGTGGCTAGTGAAGGAAGCAGCTCCAAGTACAGACCTCTACTGGTCACCCAGGAACTCCTACCACCGTGGGTCAGATCACTCAAACTAAAACAAGGTGTTCATATATTCATGTATTCTTCTATAGGCAGAAATTAAAAGCAAGTTTATCATCTAATTAGTATGGGAGAAGTAAAGAAAAATCTCCATTTTTAAAATGCCAGCTTTAAAAAAAAAAACCAAAACACCCATGCAACTCAAAAATGTCTGAGAACTAACTAGAACTGGTCTATGAACTACCAGGTTTTTCTTTTAATAGGTCTGACATTTTCTTTTTCAGAGATTTTGGACAAAACAGTGGTCACTTAGGAAAAAACGACTGTTCTTACGTAAAAAGTTTAGGTTTATTTTTGGCAGTACTGAAGTTTGATTCAGGATCTTGTGCTTGCTAGGCAAGTGTTCTATGCCTTTGAGCTATAGCCCCAGGCCTTTTGCTTTTAGATTTTTTTTTTTCATCTCAGAGCTTTGTGCTTTTGCTTGTGCTGGCCTCAAACTGCAATCCTCTTATCTCTGAATCTAAGGAGCTGGGATTACAGGCATGAACCACCTAGGTGCATTCAAGCAACTTAAAAAATATGCCTTTCTTTTTATTAAAACAGTTCTTAATTAGACTCACACTGTAGAACTAACACATACACTTTGGTCTTGCTTACTGTGTTTCTATCTATCCAGTGGTACATTACTTAAAATAACTTGCCTTATTCCACCTAATCAGAAGTAGTCTCTACTTCCTTTGTGTTTCAAATAAATATTTCTACTAAAGCACTTACTTTAAGAAGGAAAAATATGATGTCATGGTTATTTCATATTAAGTCACTAAAAGTCCTTAGTAAATAGTAATTGTTATTTTAGTTATTTCCAATAATTTTGCATAGGATCTAAGATTTGCAAAAACAAAATAAATCTGCTTAATAACAAAAGTAGTTATTATTATAGACTGAATACCATGATCAAAGTTTCACTACTGGTGTTTCATTTACAAATTTACTGTTGTTTTTTGGCGCTACTGAGGTTTGAACTCAGGGCCTCATACTTTCTTGCTAGGCAGGTATTCTACCACTTGAGCAACTCTGACTGCCCTAACAATTTTATTCTTTTGAGCAGGCAATATACATTCAAAAGGTATAAAAAAACCATAAAGAGTGCCGCAGCTAATTAAGTGCTCTCTCCATTGACAACTCCTATTTGTGTGGACCGTATTATTACATGTTCTGTACTGGTATTCATTGAAAAAACAGATGTGACTGTCAGCATCTTTGTTGACAGTTTCCCTAAGTGTAATGGATCCTTTGCCAAAAGTGTGGAAATGTTATTCTTTTTTTCAGGTTAGATAATCTGTGAATGATTTCATGTAAATAATTATACTATCTGAAAGTACAGTACTCAGTTTCTATAAAAATATGGAATAAAAATGAACAAAAACTCACTTGTTCTGCATTTTCTTTATTTGTTTTATTTTCTTCATCCTCTTCTTCCTCAGGTTCCACTGGAGCAGGAGTTAGAGATGCCACAAAATGCCAGAGAATATCATGTAGAGAAGTTGTTTGAATGACATTACACAGAAGCCAGTTGAATGCCTGAATAAATGATGATCAAAAGTACAAGATAAAAAAGATCATATATGAGTTAAAAAAAGTAGGGTTGTCTTACTCACAAATGAAGCACCTCCATGGGCTGCATATTTTAAGGAAAGATGCTAGAAAATCTAGCCTTCACTTCACTGAAGGCATACTGAACTTGAGATAGTAAAAAACTTTGGTCTCAATAAAAGAACAGGATAGCAGGGAAAATAATAGTTAAGAAATACAATGAAAATTATTCTTAGTATCAATGTACTCAGGTACATTTATTTTCAACTTGTATTTGGGGCCAGCATAGAATGTTTCTCAAGCTCTACACAACCTATCATTTACTTAAATATCTTTATATAATTCCCATTAATTAAGAGACAAGTTATTTATCACACATATTGTAAAGTTTACTAAACACGTGCCTGTGATACACAGCAATGCTATCATTCCATAAAATGGAGGCCTGGACAAATTGTTACTGGTAAATTTGTAACTCAGAACCCCTACTTCTCATCCTTTTTGTGTGACTATTCTGTCATTTCATTCTAGTGATACAGCCTAACATAAAGGCATTAAAAAAATATAATTTCGGGATTGAAATGACAAAGTAATACAAAATTCTTTAGAGTACTTAAGTATAGAAAGCTAAATTAATTTATATCCATAAACTTTAGAGTTTAATTTTGATGTGAGCAGAGAATCTCCACTTCACGTTAAATTGAGAAACCAGGAGGGCCCCGGGGCCGCCAGTCGCCTGTGCCCAGACGGCTTGGGAAGACGGACAAGGTGAGCTTCGCGGTACCGCAGTACTCCCACAGACAACCCTGGGCCAGAGCAGCATAGCCCGCTGGACAGACTGACCTCCACCCGGGAAAAAAAGAGAAACTGACTAATAAACAAAAAGAACAATAAAGACACGTGGCAAAGAGGGTGGGGAGCAAAGGCCCCAAAATTGGGGGAAGGTAATCCTTCCCGGAACTGTAAATAAACAAGCCAGGCAGGCGGAGAGGCTCTTGCGGGAACGGGGGTGCACGCCCAGCAACCAGGAGCGGGGAAAGCTTCTGAGAGTGGCGGAGGGAGGAAAACTCCACAGGAGAGGAGGGAAGACCCACTTCCCACTTGAGCTGTAAACAAACATGGCGGCTGGCAGGAGCAGAAGCACTGCCCAGTTATCAGGAGCAGGAAAGCTTGTGAAAGTGGCGGTGGGAGAAAAACTCCACAGGAGGCGGGGGGAAGACACACTTCCCACATGAGCTGTAAATAAACACGCAGGCCTGAGAAAGCAGGTGCAGTGTCACCTTTCCCAGTGCTTGGAAAGGGGAAAGCTTGT